TTAAGATGACTTTCCAGAAAGTGAAATTTGTTATGCTCTGGCTTTTAAAGGTGAAATATAAATAAATTTCATAATTTATCCAACTCGTAGGCGGTTCTGACTATTTTCATGAAACACCCATTTGCTGCCACCTGCGCCCTGGAAGCCTCCAAGATTTTCTGTTTATTTCAAGGGGCAGGTGCTTCTGTCACGAAACTCTAGCTAGCTTGGCCTCACTCTGCAGGTCTCTAGAAAATGCACACTCCCCGCTTCGCAACACCCGCTTTGGGAAACACCAGTGAGGTGAGGGGTACAAATGCTCTGAATGGCCAGGTGGCTCTAGCTACTGTCTGATGACGTAGCAGTGACCCAGGGACATCACAGTCAGGGTTCCACAAGTTACAGATTTTAGGCCCCAGAGGCCGTTCACTACACTGCCTGTGGGAGAGTTGGCACAAAGTCTTCGCCTTTCTGAGCCTGCTTCCTTACTATGGAAAGTGGCTAACCCTTCCTCACTAGGCTGCCGGTCTTCCAGGAGCAGTATAGGACCACTGCCCACCGCCTTACGGGTGGATTCTATGGAACTTGGCAGCAGTGCTGTCTCCTGGGCTTCCCCATCCCTCTCCCCGAACCTGGTGTTGAATATGGCCCAGCCTGCTCCACTTGAACCTCTCCCTCTGGATTACTCTCTTTGGTAGTACATGGTACCAGAAGCTACTCTTATGTCCCCCAATCTACCCAGGCTTCCTGGCCTAAGTATCAGTTGAGCCCTGGGCTCTGGTTACAAGTCAGGAAGTTGTAGTCTGTGCCTCTGTTTCCTCAAAGTAACAAAAGAGCTCAAGAAAATGGCATTTAAACTAAGACCTGAATGAAGAGGTCAAACTGAGGGAGCATATGGGAAGAACATTCCAGCAGAAGGAACCAAATTCAAAGGCACTAAGGTGGGAAGCATGTGTGTGTTCCTTGAGAGGAGGCAGCCAGGTTGGAAATGATGGGGGCCTGGAAGACAGATCATGCAGGGGCTGGTGGGTCACTGTAAAGACTTCTCTGCTGAAATGGGAGTTAGCGGGGGTGGGGGTGGGGTTGTGAGTGACATGATATGGCTTTGGTTTAAGGAGAATCCTAGCCGGATGGAGAAGGCAATGCTTTGGGAAGGACACCAGGGAGGTGGCTGACTGCTCAGCAATCCAGGCGGGAAGCATGTAGTAATGGGGTTGTTGGGCCAGGTACTTGTTGAAGGTGAGATGTGAGGAGTTGAGAATGACTCCCAAGATTGGGGCCTGAAAGACAGTGAATGGGTTGGTTTCTCTCTAAAATGAGGAAAGACTCCAAGAGGAGCCCTGGAGGGAGAACCAGTGGTCTGATGAACGGGTCCCTCTGGCGTGGGATCAGCCTTCTGGCATCGTGCACAGATAACTGAGAGTACAAGCTGTCAAGCCACTCAGAAGAGAATGCCCTGGAGCATGGTGTCTGCTCCTCAGTCAGAGACACAAAGAGTGGGCGAAATGGTTCCTGGAACGTGTGAGTGGAAGACACCATTATGATATCATGCTCCTTGTCTCCCGCATCCGGATGGTGTGTGTGTGTATTTATCACTTTTAAGAATTAATAAAGGGGGGGAGGCAGGGGGTGCCTGGAGGGCAGACACACACACAAAAAGAATGAATAAATATTGCCTTTAAAAAAACATGGACAGAGGCAGAATTTCTACTTTTGCTTTTAAAATAAAGGCGGTAGGTATTTGAGTATTTCATCTGCAGTGTTAAAAGTTCTTACATTCACTCCATGACCCTGAAACCAGAAGCACCAGATAGTGCCCACTCTGAAAAGGATCCCAGTAGGAAGTCCTGGAGAGCGTGGGAGAAACTTGTAGAACAGAACTCGGTGAAGACCAAGTTACTGGTCTGATAAAGACTGGTAGAGCCCCAGAGGCTATGGCACTTCCAACCCCTTCAAGCCGGGATGGAACTGAATGAACTCTTCACGTGACTTCGCTTTCAGCCAAACAAGACCAGCAGGCCTATACGGTGAGCAGTAACTCGGGGAAGAGGGAAGACTGCTGGGGGGGGGGAGTTTCAGTCTGTCAAAATACAGCGTGTATCAGTTGTTGAATGGAAAACCAATGTGCTCTGTAAACTTACCCAAATCAAAATAAAAAGTTGGGTTTTTTTAAGATTAAGCAAGTGAGCAAGCCATGGAAGACGAGATAGCAACCCACATGAAGATCATCTCCCTGTCCCCAAACGAAAAAAAAACCCAATGCATTCAGTTTGGCTTAAAAACCTTAATTCCACAATGGGAAGAAGGGAAACTCTCTTATAAACAGGTATGCTAAGCACCTATTATGTGCCAGTATTATATTAGGCACTACAACTTCAAACAAATACGGATTACAACATAACATGTTCAGGGTAAGAGACCAGTAAATACTAACTAATAAAAATGACCACCTATTTCCTAAAGGAGCCTGGTGCCATATGAGTCCATGCTTAGTTACTAACTAGCAGATACAGAGTTTGAACCCACCACCCAGAGACTACTGGATAAAGGACCTGGCCATTTGCTCCAGTAAAGATAAACCAAAAGCACGACATCGGCCACTGGGTCAGTTCTGACTCTGACACCCTATAGGACAGGGTGGGACTGTCCTGGGGATTTCTGAAACTCTAACTCTGCAGAAGTAGAAGACCTTGTCTTTCTCCCAAGGAACAGATGGTGGTTTAGAACTACTGACTTTGCATATAGCAGCCTAACTCATAGCTGCCTGGAAACACGGGGACAGTTCCATGTCCTACAAGATCACTGAGTTGGAAGCAACTAGAAGCCAAAAATCCAAAGACTTCAGGAACATAATTTCCCAAACTGATTTGGCCTCCCACCCTCTTTTAAGTGTGGGGGGTGGGGGGAGCAACCCCCTAGCAATGAAAAACTCACTGCCCGCAGTCCAGCATAAGGTGCAAGCGCCTGCTTTTGCAGCCCCTCTGCATTGCTCAGTGCCCCCAGGGGGCAGCATCGCCAAGTTTTAAAACACTTGACAGCTTTCCTCCTCTCCCCACCTGTGCTGTTTCCATCTGGCTCTCAAACAGCGAGTGAAAGTGATTGGGGTAAGGAGAGCCCGAGTGTCCTCCTAGGCTCCATCTGGCCACCTTATCCATCACTGGGGAGTTGAGCCCTCAAATAAGAAGTACAAGAAACCTGAGCGGCAGAGGGGTGAGACTCCGGTGGGCAGATAAGATGGCCCTAGCCAGCAGGGACCCACTCTGCCCTCAGTGTGGTGTCTGCATACTATGGCCTTGATTCCCCTCTTTTCTCACCTGTCTTCCCACCTTGGGGCTCAGCGGGGAACTCCTGAGTTAGAAATAGCTGCAGCGATGAGAACCCTTCCCCCTGGCTCCCATCGTGGGGCCTGCTGCCACATAATTGGGATTGATCCTCCCTGTAGCCTCCGAAAGATGGTCAACCTCAGGCTCTCAAGGTTACTCTAGGGAGGCTAGTGTCCTTGAACCGCTCTGACAATGCAGCCGGAGAGGGGAGACTACACTCCCAGCACACAGCCCAGGGAGGGGAGGCCAGGGTGTGAAAGGTTTGGTTCTTAATTGCAATTAGAGATGTGATTAGAATCATAGTCAAACTTCCCAGAGTTCCCGATTCCTGGTATCGGCATTCCTAATGTGCCCTTGGACCAACGTTCTAATCTCTGTGCTTGAGCTGCTTCAGCTGTAAACCAGCGTCAACAGTAGTATCTTCCTCACAGAATTATGAGACTCAAATGGAATCACCCTTCTAAAGCCT